TTAAATTAAATTTACCTTTGGAAAAAAAAAACAGTAAAGAATATAAAACTTGTCTCCTTAAGGCGGCAGTAAAATTGCACACACCTGGGAGGGTTGGACACTTGTCATCACCTGAATGTTATTCTTTTACTTGTGGTATGTTGTTGATGAGTCAGATGGGCACCAGGTCCTTTCTGAATGTCTTGAAAGATGTACAATAAAAGCTTTTGTTTTGCTTTGGGTTTTGTTTTGTTTTGTCTTTTATCCTTTAAAACAGTATTTCTCAATGTGTGTATCTTTGAATTTTTTGAAAGGATAATTGTTCACTGTAACATGCATTGCATGATGTTTCATACTCCTGGTATCTACTTATTAAAATTCTGATAGTTGGTTCCCATGTTTTTAATAAATTTTTTAATAAAGTGCCTCCAAACATTTCCTAACGTCCCTAAGAGGGTTGAGAACTACGACAAGGTTTTTACACCCATCTGTTCCCAATGAATGAAAACTTGAAGGGTGACATGGGGCATGTGACCCTTGGAGAACCCAGCTTTTCAGCTAAGGTGCTTTGGCCATTTTCCAGCTGAATATTTTTTTGTTGTTGTTCCTCTAGGAAAAAGTCAGGCTTGAAAAAATATCACTGGAAGGGAATTATATAAAAAACTTAGGCCACTCAATTCCCAAGGGAGAGGAAGAAATGTCATGGGGAGCAGTTCATTTCCACATTTTCTAACTTTTACAACCTATAATACTTTACCAAAAGATGAGAGGGAAGTTGCCTTCCAGCATTACAAACTACAACACACTTATATTTGAGCACCATGATCACTGTCCATTGTTTCACAGCTAGAAGACTGTCCATTGTTTCACAGCTAGAAGAGAGGACAGATCACCTAGCATCCCTTGTGCATATGTCAACATTTTACTGCAGAAGGCCAGATGAAAATATTTTAGGTTTTGTGAGACAAACCTTATTTGTCACAACTACTCAACTGTACCATTATAGTTCAATGAAACCAGAGGTGGTATATAAGTGAAGGGAATGGCGTGTTCCAATAAAACCTTATTTATAGGCCTGGTGCAGTGGCTCGTGCCTGTAATCCCAGCAATTTGGGAAGCTGAGACAGGCAGATCACCTGAGGTCAGGAGACTGAGACCAGCCTGGCCAACATGATGAAACCCGATCTCTACTAAAAATACAAAATTTAGCCTGGCATGGTGGCAAGCATCTGTAGTCCCAGCTACTTGGGAGGCCAAGGTAGGAGAGTTGCTTGAACCCAGGAGGCAGAGGTTGCAGTGAGCCGAGAAGGTACCATTGCACTCCAGCCTGGGTAATACAGTGAGATTCCATTTCAAAAAAAAATTTTTTTTAAACCCAAATTTACAGATATGTACTTTTTATGTCACAAAATATTATTCACTAATTTAATATTTTAAATGTTTAAAAAAATGTAAAATCCATTCCTACTTTCTATACCCATCCTACAAAATAAAAAGCAACAGGCCAGATACAGCCCATGAGGTATAGTTTAACACCTGAGCTTGAATGGCCATCCGTGGACTAGGCTTAGCCAAATTCATCAGCTCAGGCGCCACTATTGCTCCAGAGACTTGGTTGTAAGAAGGAAGGGATCCAAGATCCCTAGTAACACAGTGACTAAAGAATAGGTGATCCCAGTAAAGAGCTATATATACAATGTGGTATGGGTATTTTAATCTTTCACTTCCGCACACATGAAAATTTTTACCCATTTAAACATCTTAACAAATTTCTGTCTCTTATAAAAAAAAAAAATGAGAGAAATGGTGTGAACAAAGCTATTTGTCTCTTGAAGTTCGGGATCTTTCATTAACATACTCAGAAAAATATTTAGTTGCTACAGTACTTAGAAAGAAGCAAAGAGGAGTATCTCACCAGGTTTTTGCCCAAAAATTTAGCTGAAATATTGTGGTGTGTAGGGTTGATTTCAAGTTAAATGCTGTACTGTGTTTTGCTGACTGAGATGTATATTCATGAAGATTGCTTCTCTCCCAAGCCTCTGCTTTCTTAATTTTTTTTTTTTTTACTGTTTATTATTTTTCTTCTTAGAAGCAATAACATTCTTTTTTAAAAGTCGGCTTCAAAACTGTCACAATTATGTTACTCATACCTACTCTCAAAAAGTTAATAAAATAGATGAGAGAATAAATACTTCAGATATGTATTAAAATGATTGGCCTGTTTGCACAAGAACTCTTACACTAATTCTCTTCCTTTCCTATTAGTTTGAAAAGTTTTTGTTGTTGTTTTTGTTTTTTTAAAGATGGAATCTCTGTCGCCCAGACTGAAATACAACGGCGCAATCTCGGCTCGCTGGAACCTCCACTTCCCGGGTTCAGGGGATTCTCCTGCCTCAGCCTCCTGAGTAGCTGGGACTACACACACATGCCACCACACCCAGCTAATTTTTGTATTTAGTAGAGACGGGGTTTCACTATGTTGCCCAGGCTGGTCTTGAACTCCTGACCTCAGGTGATCTGCCTTTCTAGGCTTCCCAAAGTGCTGGGATTACAGGTGTGAGCCTCCAAGTCCAGCCATTTGAAAAGATTTTAATACAAAAATTAAAAAGAAAAACATACGATCTCTTTGTCTTTCTCTTTTATTCCTTTGTATAAAGTCATTCATTAAATCTTGTTAATTTTTGGCTTAAATGTCCATCTGCATATCACAAATTACTCCAATTATTTGGAATTCTCATTTTTCTTTTTGTCTTATTTATTCTCTTCTCTCAATATCTAGACTAATTTCCTTAAATACTGCATGTGTGTTGAAAAGCTTCCTTGACTCCCTGACTCTTCCCCCAGACTGACCCTCACCACCAAACACTTTTACCTGCTGTTTATATAAATGCATCAATATCCTATCATATTTCCTCTCTCATCTTCTGTTTTTCAGTAGAAAATATTTTTCTTAGCATCCTTTAGGACTAAATCTTTCTTATCTATATCTCAAAGCTCTATTTCTTAAATAAAATATTTCCTTAGTTCAAAGATAATTTTATAAAGGGTAATGTTGTGATTCATTCAAACATAAGAAGACTACAGGCCATATATTTTATTTACTCATTAATCAATAAGGCAGCCATGAGGCTGTAACAAGTAGTTTACAGAAGAAGCCAGAGATGAGATGCAAATATGTAATAAGAAATATTAAATATAGTTGCTAATAGAAGTAAAAATTCAACATATATAAGAGAATAATGTAACTGCCTTTGCAAAAATTACAACTGAGACAATTATTACAGTGAAAGAGATGTGACCTCACTGATTCCATCTTGCTTCTAACCTCCACACTGTCTTTCTTCATTCCTGGGCATAGGCCAAACTAAATGGCAGGAACTTAGTTCTTTTGGTTTAGCTTTGGAACAAAGACAAAGGAGTAATAATCCTTTCCTAAAACAAACCCCCTTCCTTCCTGGGGACTAGACTGCCTTGTAGGACTAACAAATTAGCCACAAGATGAGAAATAGTCATTTAGGAGTCAGTCATATGAGGCTGGAGGCTGCAAGATTCTAAACCTCTCCAAATCGCTTCTGGGGATAAAATCACTATTGTAAAATCTATGATGAATGCTTGAGATATTTTGCAGAACTTGCACTCCATGGATAAGCTGGCACAACCTGGATGGATAAATTGGCTCATCTGGTCCTACGGCCCCCACCCCGGAACTGACTTAGTGTAAGAGGATAGCTTCCACTTCCTATGATTCCACCTCCAACCTGACCAATCAGCATTCTCTACTTCTGGAGCCTGTACTCACCAGATTATGCTTTAAAACTCTGATCTCCAGATTCTTGAGGGAACTGATTTGAATAATAATAAAACTCCAGTCTCCTACACAGCCAGCTCTGTGTGAATTACCCTTTCTCTATTGCAATTTCCCTGTCTTGATAAATTCCCTGTCAAAGCAGCCAGTAAGGTGAACCTGTTGGGCAGTTACAATAATCAACTGGAAACACATAAACAAAGTTCATTTCCCTTACTAAGAATAATTTGCATTATTGTTAATTCTTTATCATTTACAGAGTTGTAAAATATCTTAAAAGCAATGAATGTGGCATACCCAGGGAATCAGATAACCCAGAAAATTGCATAAAACAGAATGCCCAGTAATCTTGCTGTGTGTGTGCCCATTTCAAAGTCTTTTACAATTTTTCCTGACAGTGAGTCACTTCCAATTTTCTCCCATCCTTTTGAAATGTTGCCTGTAGCATGTACAGCAGTTTTGGTTCATCCCCTTCATACCTTCAGGGAGCTCATAGGCCAGCAGCAGTAGTATCTGCTGGGAGATTGGTAGAACATTCTCAGGCCATGCTCCAACCTCTTGAACCAAAACCTGCATTTTAACAAGACTATCAGGTCACTTATGTGAACATTAGAGCCTTGGAAACGGTGGTCTATACTACATCAATTAATGCTGCTTAGAAACTGAGGGACTTGCAACGTTCACTATTTTGTTACTATATCTTGTGTTTCTTTGTTTCCAAAATCTTTAGAATATACCTTTAAGCAAATAAGAGAATTGAATCCAATTAATTAATTAATTAAAATCTTTTCTCAAAATGAGGCAGATGTTGGCACAGTTTTCCATTACTAATGGGTCTTAAATGGCTTTAAAATTTATCTGTCGTCTGATACTTGTGGAAGTTGCAAGACATAGCTGAGCTCACAATGCACTGGAAAAATGAATAATGGAATTTTTTTAATTCCGTGAAATGTTTAAGAACTGTGCTATAACACATTTTTATATATAAATAAAAGACATAACAAATACTAAGGGAATAAAGATCAAGTAGGTATTTTACTAATTAAAGTTCCCAAATAGAAAAAACTATACCTTGTTTTACTTAATGTATATGTTGTTCTCAACACTGCTATGTTCTTGAAGACATTCAACAAAAGAATTTTGATATCTCAGTCTTAGCAAGTCTGAATTGAGTCAATTCCACACATGAGCAAAATATACTTTTACAAGATTTATGGTGCTCTCTTTGGCAGCACATATACTAAAAAATTAGAATGATACAGAGATTAGCATGGCCCCTGCACAACAATATCATGCAAACTTATGAAATATTCCATATTTTTTGGAAGAAAATATCCTGCATTCTGACAGATTACCTTGAAGGAAAAAAAAAAAAAGAACCTATTTTTGTGGATTATTTACCAATCACACCGCACAAGCATTTATTTTAGTAGATTTTTTTATATAAAACTGCTAATGCTAAAGGTTTTCATCAAAATAAATAAAATAAAAATAAATAAACAATAAAAAATGTATGAAGCAAAACTAAACTTCTCAAAACCAGATATGTTCTTGTTAGGTTTAGACATATTGTTATTGGGGCTAATTATATTAGCAAAAAAAATTAGAGGGATAAATATCCATTTAAGTTTTCACACAGGAACACACTACAATGAGTTGTTCTGGTTGAAAAGTAAGAATGCTTTACCATGAAAAAAATTACATTTATTTTTAGTTTATCAGAGGTTCAGCTGAACTTTCTCTCTCATGTAATTTCTTAGTTAGTAATCAAAACTATTTCAAATTATGTTTCTCCCTAAAACAGTTAAACCATAATTTCTTCTTAATTATACATTTTTATATATACCTATAAATGGATAGCTCAAATATTTTTATTTAGGAAAAAATTATTTTATAGGAAAACTTCTTAAAAATTCAGATTTTGAAGTACCGAGTTCTACTCTACTTAAGGTTTACTTCTAAAGAGAAAGCAATCCAAAAATGATATGCCAAGAAAGGTGTTTTCAGCTACTCAGAATCCAACAACTACCTCTCTGCCTATACATAGGCTGTTTTCTCATAGATCCTTTAATATGACAGGAAAGATGGGCCATAAGATTTTCTTTTCCTGTATGATCTTACAATAAGGAAAAAAGCAACATTTGCTTTGAATAATAAAGACAGGTTATCAGCTCTGAGTTCCATGATATGAATCCGACTTCCTGCTCTAGTCATTGAATTTCAATTGACATAAAACACATTGATCTGTAATTATTGCTGTAATATGAAATTAAGCAACATAAATTACAATGCCAGCAGGTGAGGTGGCTCACATCTATAATCCCAGCACTTTGGGAAGCCAAGCCAAAAGGATCACTTGAAGCCGAGAGTTCCAAATCGGCCTTGGCAACATAGCAAGATCCCTGTCTCTACAAAGCATTAAGAAAACAAAAAATTAGCTCGGTGTGATGGTATATACCTGTAGCCTTAGCTACTCAGGAGGCTGAGACAGAAGGTTCCCTTGAGCCCAGGAGGTCAAGGCTACAGTGAGCTATGATCATGCTGCTGCATTCCTGGCTGGGCAACTGGATGAGACATTGTCTTTAAAAAAAAAAAAAAAATCAGAATGACAACAATTAATGTTAAGGTTAGTTTTATACAAGAAAAAAATTTCATCAAGCATCACTTCAATTTTCACTCCTTTTTTTTCCCCCAAAACACAATCAAATGAATAAATGAATGAGCAATCCAAACCCTTGCAGTCAGTAATGATAGCTTTCCAATTTTCTTTTTTTTTTTTTCCCTTTTTTTTATTGCATTTTAGGTTTTGGGGTACATGTGATGAACATGCAAGATTGTTGCATAGGTACACACATGGTAGTGTGGTTTGCTGCCTTCTGTCCCCTCACCTGTATCTGTCATTTCTCCCCATGCTGTCTCTTCCCACCTCCCCACCCTCCCGCCCCTCCCCCATTTCCCCCCAACGGACCCCAGTGTGTAGTGCTCCTCTCCCTGTGTCTATGTGTTTTCATTGTTCAACACCCGCCTATGAGTGAGAATATATGGTGTTTGATTTTCTGCTCTTGTGTCAGTTTGCTGAGAATGATGGTTTCCAGGTTCATCCATGTCCCTACAAAGGACGTGAACTCATCGTTTTTGATGGCTGTGTAATATTCCATGGTATATATGTACCACATTTTCCCTATCCAGTCTATCATCGTTGGGCATTTGGGTTGGTTCCAGGTCTTTGCTATTGTAAACAGTGCTGCAATGAACATTCGTGTGCACGTGTCCTTGTAGTAGAATGATTTATAATCCTTTGGATATATACCCAGTAATGGGATTGCTGGGTCAAATGGGATTTCTATTTTTAGGTCCTTGAGGAATCGCCACACTGTCTTCCACAATGGTTGAATTAATTTACACTCCCACCAACAGTGTAAAAGTGTTCCTATTTCTCCACATCCTCTCCAGCATCTGTTGTTTCCCGATTTTTTAATGATCGCCATTCTAACTGGTGTGAGATGGTATCTCAATGTGGTTTTGATTTGCATTTCTCTGATGACCAGTGATGATGAGCATTTTTTCATATGTTTGTTGGCCTCAGAGGAAATACAACATACCCACAACCATCTGATCTTCGACAAACCTGACAAAAACAAGCAATGGGAGAAGGACTCCCTGTTTAATAAATGGTGTTGGGAAAACTGGCTAGCCATGTGCAGAAAGCAGAAACAGGACCCCTTCCTGACACCTTACACCAAAATTAACTCCAGATGGATTAAAGACTTAAACATCAGACCTAATACCATAAAAACCTTAGAAGAAAATCTAGGCAAAACCATTCAGGACATAGGTGTAGGCAAGGACTTCATGACCAAAACGCCAAAAGCAATGGCAACAAAAGCCAAAATAGACAAATGGGACCTAATCAAGCTCCACAGCTTCTGCACGGCAAAAGAAACAGTCAGTAGAGTGAATCGGCAACCAACAGAATGGGAAAAAATTTTTGCAGCCTACCCATCTGACAAGGGGCTGTTATCCAGAATTTACAAAGAACTAAAGCAGATCTACAAGAAAAAAACAAACAAGCCCATTCAAAAATGGGCGAAGGATATGAACAGATACTTTACAAAAGCTTTCCAATTTTCAAAACTCTTTATACTCATTTTGGACCTGCATAGTTTTAGAATGTACCCTGAGGCAAGCTTTTCTTCAGTTGTTTTCTTAAAGTACAGGCTTCTGCTAGTTTTGGTTTGTGGTTGATCAAGGTGCTCCCTCTCTTGCCCATTCCTGTTTTGGTGTCTCATTTTCCATTTAAGGCTTTGACTCATGGAGCTTCCTATTTTATAATCGTCTGACTCACCAGGGGAGAGGAAATGAGTATCAAATATCATGTCTTGAAATTTTATCATATAAATTAGTTTACCTTTACCCATACTGTAGGACTGAACCTTCAAGGATTTGTGTGTGTGTGTGCATGTGTGTTTGTGTGTGTGTGTGTGTTTTGTTGTTTTTCAGAGCAGAATTATTTCTAAATAAAAAGAAATTCTGGTTTTTTAAATTAATCTATAGTATTTAAGACTCAACTAGAAGATGTAGGTTCAGTTTCAGATTGTTAAAATATATGGTTGGATTTTACTTACTCAAAGATTTTACCTAGAAATCTTTTAGAGGTAAATAATTCCCACACTCAAAGACTAATCTCCTTTCTCCACTTTTTGTCTACAAATCTTCTCTCTCCAGGTGGGCTCCTTGGTTCAGCAATTTGTACCATAACCTTTCATCCATTCCCTCTCCCTCCTCCTCCCCATCCTTTCTATCCTTGGTATGATGAGTAGGTCATACTACAATTAAGTCTGAAATGACTGCCACTTACAGAAGATCTATGTTGTGTGAGCCATAGTACTACCTAAGGTTATATATAAAAGATATTGTCAGTCAGTGCCCATGAGGAACTTCATATCACATCATATACTCACAAATTATAGGAGTTAATACATGTGAAATGCTAAAGTGTTAGCTAATAAATAAATAGAAAGCACAGGTAACTCCAATAGAGGCTCACTGTGAAAGTTGTTACAAGTAAGAGTCCCAAGTTACTGTAAGAACAGAGAGATGAAGAAGTTGAGGCCTGCATGTGAATGACTTTTAATATCTATCAGTACAACTGTTTTAATTAACTTCACCATTAGGCTTTTATAACATTAAAATTTTTACATTTGCATGGAGACAGATATATTACAAAAAAAATGACTCTCTAAAAATGTTGCTCTTTTTTTTTTTTTTTTTTTTTTTTTGAGACAGAATCTCACTCTGTCGCCCAGGCTGGAGTGCAGTGGTGTGATCTTGGTTCACTATAACCTTCGCCTCCCGAGTTCAAGCAATTCTCCTGCCTCAGCCTCCTGAGTAGCTGAGATTACAGGCGCCCACCACCATGCTTGGCTAATTTTTTGTATTTTTTAATAGAGACGGGGTTTCACCGTGTTGGCAAGGCTAGTCTCAAATGCCTGACCTTGTGATCCACCCACCTCAACCTCCCCAAGTGCTGGGATCATAGGCATAAGTAGGGGATACAATGAGGGCTTCCAGAGGCTAGGAAGGGCAGGGGAGGGGAGAATGAAGAAGAATGAAAGAGAATGGAGAAGGTTGGTTAATTGGTACAAAATACAGTCAGATAAAGAAAGAAAGTGGAGCAAGACAGCTGAATAGAACCCTCAGGAACTCCAAATTGAACAATTATCCATGCAATAAATCACCTTCATAAGAACAAAAAATTAAGTAATCACAGTATCTGTTTTAAACATAGTAACAAGGAAAGAAGCATTGAAGAGGGTAAGAAGGAAAGTGCTATATTGCCTAAACTATGCCTCCAAACCCCAAATGCCAGGTAGCCTAGAATGGAGAGGCAATATGTATGCTTGAGGGAGGGAGAACAAATTGACTGTGAGATTGGCATTGGAACACGGTGTTGCCCTTTCACAGCACATGACATGACAGAGTTCTGCCAGTGACCATGTAGCAAACATCTACAAACCCCTGGGCTGGCTGGGCACAGTGGCTCACACCTGTAATCCCAGCACTTTGGGAGGCTGAGGTGGGTGGATCACTGGTCAAGATATGAGACCAGTCTGGCCAATATGGTGAAACCCCATCTCTACTAAAAATACAAAAATTAGCCGCGCATGGTGGCACATGCCTGTAGTCTCAGCTACTCTGGAGGCTGAGGCAGGAGAATCACTTGAACCTGGGAGGTGGAGTTTGCAGTGAGCCAAGATTGCGCCATCGCACTCTAGTCTGGTGACAGAGTGAAATTCCATCTAAAAAAAAAAAAAAAAAAAAA